GTCAGGCAAGCTATAAGCAGCAGCTACAAGAAAATCAATTTAAGGGTTTTCCCCTCCCTTTATCATTCCATTTTCTTTTGCAATTAGAATTGAGTAACTGGAAACATTTGACAACTTACAAGGAATAAAACTTCAGCACAAAAGGAGAATAGCCATAATCTATCCATTTCTGCACATTCTACTATTTTTTTTATTATCTTCTCTTCTGTAAGGATCTCCACACCTTTCCAGTGTTGTTCAAATACAATTCTAGCAGTTCTTAACCCATATGTAATATTAGATACATAGTCACTTTATTATATTTTTTGGTATGATACCCAACATAAATATTTCTGGTTTTAAATGTATATGTTCCTTTATCATTTTTTCTATCCAAGTATGTATTTTTGTCCAGTATGTTTTTGCTTTTGGGCATGTCTACCACATGTGGTAGTACCAGACTGGAGTCTGATTACACTTCCAACATTTTGCTGACGTATCTTTAAACATCTTGGCTAATCTTGCTGGTGGAAAGTGCCATCTATAAAACATTTTATATACATTTTCTTTGTATGAAGCAGAAATTATTAATTTATAATTTTGATCCCACAACGTTTGTCATTTATCAAATTCTATAGAATAACCAACATTTTTAGCCCATACTATCATTGTTTCCTTCTTCCATTCTAATACTATACATTAGAATGTATACGTTTTTGTATTAATTTATCATCAATTCCTGTTAGAATCTGGTCCAATTCTGTTGGTTCTTTATAAAAGCCATATAATTTAGCATCTTTTTCATATCTTGATTGCATTTGTACCTGCGGCCACCATGCTAAATCTATCCCTTGACTATTCAGTTCCTATTTACTTTTCAATTCCCCTTTCTCATTCAAAATATCTTTATATCTTATATCTTATGTTATGTTTATATGTTTAGCGAACATATTCTGATCTGCTTTAAATATAGTACAGTTGGGATATAATTTAATAATTAAGTTTCAAAGTCCTCATATTAATTTTAAGGGGAATTCTACTTTCCTTTATGAATGTGTGTGTGTGTATGTGATTATTTTTAGTTTCCATCTGCCTGACAGTTTCATCAAATTAATTCTATATTTCTTTGAACTATCTTTCATCCTAACCTTCTTGTTTTTCTTTATCTTTATTACAAACTGATATAGTTCTTCCCCTTATTATCAGTCAGAACCTAATTAATTAGGTCTCAGCATGCAACGCACGTATTACGATGCAGGTTACCAAGGGCTAAAATGCTTTCAGGAAGAACTGTGGGACAATTGAGCTCCGAGACAGACCGTGGCAGAGTAGATGTTAATTGTGGCGCATGGCTGTATATCAATCTGGACCATGTGAGGGAAAGTAAGTGCAACAAGCAAATAAGTATCAAAAGGAACTCAGATTGTAGCAATGCTTCCAAATTCTCCTTTTATTTTCCTAAAAATGACATATGTACCATCATCCCCAGGAGTTGTAGCGACGCAGTTGGTAAAAATGCAGTATTGCAGGCAAATTCTGCTGACTATCGGCTGCCAGCAGTTCGGCAGTTTGAATCTCACCAGTTCAAGGTTGACTCAGCCTTCCATCTTTTTGAGGTGGGTAAAATGAAGACCCAGATTGTTAGGGGCAATATGCTGATTCTGTAAACCGCTTAGAGAGGGCTCTAAAGCAAGTGGTATATAAGTCTAAGTGCTATTGCTAAATGCTATCACCACTACCATCACCATGACTATAGGGAACTACCAGGCAAGTGGGTGAACAGATAAATACATAAATAAACTGAACTAAGAAATAAATAAGGCAGTGGAAAGAATAGAGTTTTATAAAGAATGTACTCATGTAGGTCTCAAGTGAGACTACACATTTGGGAACATGAAGTAACATTTAAAATGTTGCCTGAAAGTCAGAGTCAACACTTCCATCCAAATACTTGCCCTGGGGTGAAATGTAATACGAGCTTGCTCCTCCGTCCCTTGCAGGATTGAAGAATAAATACAATGATTCCTTGCACCTGTTTCTGCCAGTACATTAGATGGAGGGGGAGGAGAGTATTAAGGATGTCTGAATTTGAACACCGGGTTGCTTCGGCAGGGTTGAAATCCAAAATTTCTGCTCCCATCCTCTGGTCCTTTTATAATTACTGGAAAATGACAAAATGTCATTCTATAATAAAATGAAAGTCAGTGTGACTGTACATAGAATCAGTTCTGGTCATCTGAAAGCAACATAAAAATGGAAAGAAATCTCCTGAGAAATAAGAACAATTCCCTTCGAGATAGATTAGTCGTTAAGCATAGAAGTTCCTGGTGATATATTTGAGTTGGAGTTATAAATTTTAGTGGACGAATGAAGCAGGGGGAGTCTATGGAGATTCTCAGACATTCAGGTCATGATTGTCCCAAAGGTGCTTTTTCCAGAGACAACTGGACTTTCTGGTTTTTATTTGAAGCTGTTTCGCTTCTCATCCAAGAAGCTTCTTCAGCTCTCCGAAGAAGCTTCTTGGATGAGAAGCGAAACGTCTTCAAAGAAAAGCCAGAAAGTGCAGTTGCCTCTGGAAAAAGCACCTTTGGGCTAACCCATTCTGTTTGCATATTTCTACTGGGAACTAATATGAAGACTCATATCTTCTCTATAAAAAGAAAAATCTGATGGAGGTGATAAATAGCAATAGCACTTAGACTTATATACCGTTTTATAGTGCTTTACAGCCCTCTCTAAGCAGTTTACAGAGTCATCATATTGACCTCAACAATTTGGGTCCTCATTTTACCTATCTTGAAAAGGTGGAAGGCTGAGTCGACCTTGAGCCTGGTGGGATTTGAACTGCCAAATTGTAGGCAGCTGGCTGCAGAAGTAGCTTGCAGTACTGCACTCTAACCACTATGCCACATAAAGGTTGAGAAGGGTAAAGCTAAGCGAACTTTCTCCAATCTAGTGACTTCCAGCCATGTTGGGTTACTGCTCCTTTAATTTGCCGCCAGTATAGTCCTTGTCTGCAGGATCTAGCAATCAGGTCCCCCCACATCTGGAATACAGATTGGGCCAGGCTGGTTCCTCATGTGTCCTGGGGGGACTTTGTGGCACTCTTGTCTGCTGTGCAATATCGAACCAGACTGAACAAAGAAATAAGAAACAAAGATATAAAAGTAACACTCAAATAGTTGTATTACAGTTTGCAAAGAATGCACATAACAAACAACTTAAACTAACAATCAAGACAAAAGATAAAGAGTAAAAAGAGAATAGGGGTAAAAGTATGAAAAAGTATAAAGAAAAAGAAAGAAAAACAAGAATAGATACAAAGAATAATGTTTATAACATTACTTAGCGGGGAAAAATACAATGGATACCATGGACACACTATTCTGTTTTAAAACAAGTGCCTCTTTGAGAAACATAATTTTTTTAAAAAAGAAAGGGGCAAAATTCATATATCTTGTGAAGCTTTTAGTTGATTAATGAAGATATCTAGAATAATATACTGGCATAGGATTTTATAACCATAGACAACTAAGCAGGGATTCACTGGGCGCCTGTCTTTATAACCTGGATAGCAAACTGACTTGCCTCTAAAGATGCCAGCCACAGTTGCCAGACCAAACATCAGATCTGTTGTTTAGACCACAGTCATTAAATCCTAAAGCTCAGCACTGCCCATTTGTAAAAGTTCACCTGTTGGGCTGAGTCATAACCATATATGATCCCTTAGGGCAGTGACCTTTTCGTCATCAAGTGCCCAAAGCGCATGTGTGCATGTGCACCCCCAAAATGCAGCATGTGTGCATGACCCCCCCCATGCATGCACTTGCAACCCCAGTGTATGCACTCCACCTCCCGCGCATACATGCACAACTTTCACACATCTGCCCTGCCCCCTGCACATGTGTTCACGACTCCCACATGTGCAGCAGTGCTGAGCTGGGGCGACAGCTCATGTGCCCAGAGAGAGGGCTCTGCGTGCCACCTCTGGCACGCATGCCATAGGTTCACCATCACGGTTTTGAGTATCGGAATAACTAGGGAAATGTCTATATTATTTATGACTCTTGCATGTAACTGACCTTCATACAGATGTAGATTCCATCTGAATTGAGTGAAGGTATCCTGCGCACACCGAATCTGCTCTGCAAAGAGGCTGAACTCTTATGAAAGCAGACCAGGCTAAGAAAAACCTTACCAACACTTGTGCCTTTTCAACTTGTTATTAATCTTCCTAATAGTTTCTTCCCAAAGTGGACCAGGGAGACAGAATAATACTTTATTTTAAATACAGGACATCTTATGTTAGGTGAATTGACCTGTCTAGTATGATTCTGTGATTTTTAAATATAGGGAAGTTGAGGTAATCATAGGCTCACCAAATGTATGAAATGGAATGTGTCTTTACTCCTCCAGGCTGGATTTTATTAAATCATCCCAAATACTTCTCATCTGAAAAACTTTACTACTGCACGAGCCAGTGGCTTCACTGCTTAAAAGCTATTACCTACCACACTATCTCCAGTTCACCTTCTCCATCTCTATTGCTACATCCTGATGCTAACTACCAAACAGCCAATGTGCATGCTAGCAGCAGCAACCCCAGTCCACACCCACCATTGACTCTCTGGATAGTCTCCTCAGGCACCTGTTCCTGCCTGCACCCAGGACGGACACTTCTACCCCTCCAGTTTGCAGAACCTTTTGGAGGTGCTTGCTCAACCAGTTGCAAGCTCATCTGGCTGAATGTTATTTATTTTGTCCAAAAATCTTCCCATAGTACCTGTCAGATGCATCACTAAGAACAACGTGCATATCATCTGCAACAGTTCCTTGGTCTACTTAGTTAGTTAGTCCTTCTGTCATAAAAAAAATAATAATCTGGTTAGCCTGACACAACATGCTTTTGAAAGCAAGTCTGGGACTTAATAATAATAATAATAGCATTCTTTATGAAAGGCTTGCAAACATGCTCCTTGACAATCTGTTCCTGTGCCTTGCCAAATATAGACTTTTAGCTGGCCTGCTGTTTCACTGATCCTCCTCCTTCCCCTTTTTGAATGTAGGTTGAATGTAGGATTCTGTTTTTGTTCTCCGGGCTTCCAGCACCTCACCATCTCTGCTGACATAAACTTTTTTTCAAGGAACAACAAGAACAACAACAAAATCCAGACCTCAGATTGACAGAATCTTCCAAACTGTTGTGAGCATTCACCTTACAATCATTTGTACGTTTAGCCCACGATGCAAATAAGTGCCAAGAATGTGGAGTCTAGCTCTTGATGGTCAAGGTCACCCTCCCAGTCTTTCCAGTTCCTGCTAGTCGGATGCGCCATGTGGGGACTCTGACAACCAGAATTGTAAAGGTAATTGCAGGAGAAGCAAAGGGTATGTACATTCTCACTGAAAGGCGATGAAGAGGAGGACACAACCGCTTTGATTGCCTGCCTCTGCTTTCGTATACGAGGCAGCCGGTGCTTTTGGCTGGGAGCCCAGGCAGGGCTTTTGTAATCAAAACATGATCCTGTATGCGGTGCAGCCAGTACTGAGAAAGGCCGACGGATGGCTCTCCTCTTTTAGCCCTGCTGTGGAATCTGCCGAGCTTCACCTCTGATGTCCAAAATGCACCATTCTGTGAGTGCCGCCTTTGTTGTAACTGGGAGGGATGTGGGGGAGCCATTCTTGCATTCTGAAAAGCCCAAGGAATGACTATATTTTTCCTCTGCTTTTTCTTTTAAAAATAGCATTGTTGTCTCAGGGTCTTTTGTCGTCAGCCAGCAGATCGTTAGCTGGGTGACCGGGGAGGGCAAAAAGGTAGCTTTCTTAAGGTAGATTGTTATGGGACTTTCCTTCCAGGCAGGCAAGTTAGATTCCCTACTGCCCCACCCGAAAGAGAGGGAAGATGTATTTTTTTTTTTTTTTTAGCCGAAATCAAAGCAAAACAGAATGCTGGGTAACGAAAGACGCTTCCCACCCAAAGCCTAGGAGGCTGGAGAGGATGCACCCATCTGTGCAAAGACCGGTGGTGTGCTGCCTGACCCCGTGAAGTGCTGGGCTGAGGCCCTATCCTGCCACTTCCCATCCCCTAGTGGTCCCCCCCCCACCCTCCACAGCATCTCTCTTTCTCTTTTGCTCTCGTATCACAAACAGCTGGTTTGGGAAACACACTGGGAAAATCCTAGTAATCTGAAAAAACCACCAGCGACTTTCGATAGTATAGAGTCAGGGGAACAGGGCAAAATTTCTGTGAAACTTTCCTTTCCTACTTGCTTGGTTTTGATTTTCTTCCCATCCCCTCCAACATTTGTGGGATAAAAATAAAGATACCTCTTGACTGATAGATTCTCTCCCCGCTCCTCATCTTCCAGTGGCCTCTAGGTTTTTGTTCCCCCCCCCCAATGAGCCAGCAAACAAGCTTTCTCATTCACAGCCACTGCACGTTTGTTCTGCTAGAGCCATTTATAACTCCCTGCCTGAATCACTGTACCATACGGCTTTCTGCTGGCGAGGGCAAAAGGGGGGGTGTCACCTTCCATTTCCAATGCCCACCAAGCCAATGTTCTTTCCAGTAGCTTGGCAGCGAGACTATCCCCTGACTGCAACACAGCAACAAACACAGCCAGAAAGAAAAAAAAAATGCTGACTGTGTGGCAGTGGCTGGATCAGCGTGCGCCAATCAACAAGTTAGCTGGGTTTAATAGAGGGCCTCAAATTCTGGGGCATTTCATTTGAGGCCTTGTTCTCATTGTTTTGGCTCCTGCTGCTGCTGCTATCTCTCTGTGAATCTCCATTCATTGCCACAAGTGGAAATAAAAATAAAAATAAATGGTAGGATATGCGATCTCAGGCTGCAATGCTATATATCCTTCTTTCCTGATTAGAAATACTCCTGTTCAGTGTTACGGTAATCATCTAGTTATAAATGTGGCATTATATTACATATGTACAATATCCTAGCTGGTTAGATGTGAGAATAGTACTTTGCTTGCAAGGTAGCCTCTGGATTGTAGAGTCTAGTTTGGGGAGAAAACTGTGAAGATCCTTGAGGTAAATCTGCTTTTTAGTTGCACTTGTAGTATACTGGCTACAGTAAACCCAAAGTAGCTAGTACCATCATCACTGTTAGTAGGGAATGTTGCCTGTGGTAGAGGTATCAGTTTATCAATTAAGGCTCATAAACTGGGCAACATCTTCTCCATCTTATTAAAAAAAATACGTTAAAGCCTCAGTTGACCAATAGGAAGACCAATGGAGTCAATATCTAAATTACCTTCAATATCTAAATTACCTTCACTATCTAAATTACCTTCAGAAATTACCATGATATAAAAAAGTTTGGAGTGCAAAAGGGATAAATATAAATCTGAATTCACCAATGAATGGAAAAATATTTATTTATTTATTTATTTGATTTGCCAATTGTTTACAAGATAATAAGTATAAGTGTATACATAGTTGTGAATACATGAAATGGGTACATATAAGAAAAATAAAAGAATAAGAGAAACAATAGGACAGGGACGGTAGGCACGATGGTGCGCTTATGCACGCCCCCTACAGACCTCTTAGGAAAGGTTGTGTATGTGTGTGTATGTGTCAGAGTGTGTGATATGAAGTGTAAGAAAAAGCATATTAAAAAAACAACCTCGAATGTGTGTTGTCTCATCTTGAAACGAAGGTGTAGGTTTATTTGTGAATGAAAAGGCTAATATGTGTGTCAGAAAAAAAGAATTTGTTTTCTCTAGGTTGTTGTGGGTGTGTATGAAAGTAGAAATCTGTAGCTTAATTATAGCTGAGTGTTACGCTTCAGTGAATAACAATAAAGGAAAAGCCAGATATGTGTTTTTTTGGGAATATTGTGCAATAGTCTGAATTAACGCAACCCAGAGAGAACAAGTGATCTGCAAGGGTGACATAAATATGTAGGTGGGACTGAGACAAACAGATGAAGAATGAGCTATTATGAGACTCAAGAATGTATGAAAAAGGTGACTGGTGAATATCTGCTTAGAAAAATGTCTAGAAAGGTAATGGATAGGAAATACAGTTGTTTGTTATGAGGAATGAACGTTGAAAGAACTAAAAATGGTATATACTAGAGTATCCTTTGCCAATCCTGATACATAGAATGAGAGTTGGGTACCTTGGAAACAACATAAGGTAAATGCAATGGGAATAAGGTGCAGGTAATCCTCAACTTACGACCACAATTGAGCCCAAAATTTCTGTTGCTAAGCAAGACAGGTGAGTTTTGCCCCATTTTATCACCTTTTTTGGCCAAAGTTGTTCAGTAAATCACTGCAGTTGTTAAATGAGTAAGACGGTCGTTAAGTGAATCTGGCTTCCCCATGGACTTTGCTTGTCAGAAGGTTGCAAAATTGATCGTATGACCTCAGGACACTGCAAACGTCAACCATATGAGTCAGTTGCCAAGCATCTGAATTTTGATCACGTCACTGTGGGGATGCTGCAATGATTGTCAGTGTGAAAAACGGTCATAAGTCAGTTTTTTTTCCCATGCTGCTGTAACTTCAAACGCTCACTAAATGAACTGTCATAATTTGAGGACAACCTGTGTTTAAGAACTGTATGGGGAAAGGGAGGGTCACGCATGAATGAGCACTAAGTGAATATGAATAGGCTATAAAAGTGTATAATCAGTGTAGTTCACGGGTGGGATTCAACCGGTGTTACTACTGGTTCGGTGATTACTTTTGCGCACACATGTGCGCTGTCTGTGTGTGTAAAAAACCTTAAGCTGTGCTGCCCAGACAGCTGAAAAGCGCTGCGTGCAGGTGCGCAGCATTTGAAAAGCCTTCCCCCCCCCTGCTTTTTCAACCTCAGCTGTGCCGCGCAAAGCAGCTGAAGTTGAAAAAGCGGGAAATAAAGGACAGGTAAGAGCCTGGGCAGGTGGGTGGGCCAAACAGCAGCAAACACAGAACCGGTTCAGTGTCTGCTGCTCTTCAGAGCTACCGGTTCTATAGAGCGGGGCAGAACCGGTAGCATCCTACCCCTGGTGTAGTGATATGATTTGATCATACAGGGAAGAAGATGGAAGATCAAATTGCAAAATAAAACTATAAAGGAAGAGTGAACAAATTTAGAGAAAAGAAAAATCTGAGAAAATTGTCGTTCAGTGGAATTAATTGTAAAACTCAAAATATTATTTTTTTGAATTCTTTTTTTAAAAAAATCTGGATAGGATGGAACTTTGAAAGTTGAGCACTAGAGGGAACCAGAAGGAACTACAGATTACAATTAAAAGAGTACACTTAAACCTGACTTACTGAAATAGAGCAAAGTAAATTAGCATTCAACATATTGAAGTATATTTTTTGAACAGTGGACCCAGAATTTTAAATCTTTAATTTTAAAGATGTCTGCCTATATGGATGAAGTGAATTTAAATAATGTTATGGGAGAGGAAGACGTTTTACTGGTGAAGACTGAGACAGGCTACAAGAATAATGTGGAATAAGATGCTGCAGTGGAGATACAAATGAAACTGGTTGATGACTCAATAATTAAAAGGGATATACAGAGATATAAACCTAAAAAGTGACCTGAATAACTTTCCTATATTAAATTTACAAAAACTACCTGTTAACATTTTGAAGAATTTTGTGAGGAGAACCATGAAACAATGAAAATAAATCAAGTTCTAGGATATTATTTGAAGGAATTAAATATCAAGATAGTTAAAAGGAAAAGGAAAGTAATAAAAAAATAGATTTATTTGCCTCCAGAAATTGTGGGTGTTCCAACACTGGAGATTTTTAAGAAGAGATTGGACAGTCTGTCTGAAATGGTACATGGTCTCTTGTCTGATCAGAAGGTTACAGGTCTTGAAGACTTCCTTTCAACTCTGTTACTCCGTTAAGTTTGTTAAACCATGATTAAAACAGATACGCAACTGGTAACTCCTAATGGACTTTTACTGATCACAACTTACAACAAGGGATTTACAGATACAGATAATCAGAGTTGGAAGGGACCTTGTAGTCATCTAGTCCAACCCCCCGCCCCCCGGATTTAGGGATATGCTTATAGATAACAGAAAGTTATGGGAAGAAAAGATCCTTTGTTGTATTTAGAAAGAAGGTGATAAACAATTATAACTGCTGTGATGAAGGGGGAAGTCATATTTTCTTTTTCGTTACTATATTCTTATTTTTCTTCCTTTTCTGTTTATCTTTCTGTTCTTTTTTTCTTTTCTACCTTTTCTATCTTTCTCTTTTATTTTTTAGTTTGTATTAGTTAATCTTTTAATTGTAGCCTTAAATAAGACCTCAAGTGCTTCCATGTCTCCTAGTGTTTTCCTTGATATTTACTCTGTCCCTGAACATGCCCAGGAAAAATGACCTGCTCTTTCTGGTAGTTAGTTTGTGTATTGTATAGTCTCAAAGATCAGCAGGAACCCTATGAACGTATAGGATTTAAGGATTTAAGAAAATGGTAAGACTTTTTTTAAAAAAAGACCTTTTTGGCAATTCATGTAGATTTTCATATAAATGTCTCCTAAAAGGTGCATTTTTCTAACACACATCTTTTGTAAATGATTTCCTTTAATTTAATGAATTTCATACACATTTTCTCTACAATCTTTGTTATATGTGGTCCTTATATGGTGTATA